AAAATATTATAATCACTTAATGTTATTAAAGGTAAAAAAACAAAACTGAAATTTATTAGATAATTATTAATTAAAAAATGTGACCACAAATTAAAAAATTAAAATGGATAAATTGGTCAATAAAATTAAAAAATTTTAATCCGCTAGCGGTTTGGTACAAAAAGCTACATAAACTAACTTTTTCAATCCGCTAACGATTTGGACCATAACCGCTATCCGTTAGTCTCAAACCGCTAAACAAAAATTTTACCAAACACTTTAGTTGTAGCGGTTTTAAAATATATAAATTTACCAAACACCTATATTTAGCAGTTTAGGTAAAACCGCTAACCGTTACCCCAAAACCGCTATACCAAACAGGGCCTTAATATGTGTAATTACATGCAAATTTGGTAATAAATTAAAAAACCTTTTAAAGGAATGATCTTCTTACTCTTTTATATTTTTGTAGAGATTAAATACTTAGATCCTCAATTTCACAAAAAAAAAAAAAAAAAAAAGGCAGAGAGTTAGATTTGGTATGTATAACATGTAAATTTGGTAAAAAAATTTAAAAAAAAATAAAAGAAATGATTTCTTTACTTTTTTGTCTCCTCTGTAGGATTGAATTTTAATGAATATAGTTAAAATTTGAGATAAACAATGATCTTTTGTTGCTTTTATGAAAGAAAAATGAGAAGTAAATAAAAGCTTCAAAAAAAAAAAAAAAAAAGGCAAAACAAACCAAATCTGTGTTTTGAAAACAAAAATTAGTTGTATCAACACAAATTTGGATGCAAATAATAAAGAATTATTAACTCCCACTTCACTTAAACATGTCTAGAGCATAGAGTACGATGATAAAATACTACCATATTTATTTACAAATAATAAGAAACTATTCACCTAATTTTTTTTTACAATTTTTATGATTTTTTGAAACATTGACTATAATATACTGGGTTTTGTCAAATTGTGAACCATATTTGTGTCAACAATACTTACACTAATGGTTTTTAGTTGGCACTGAAAAATTTTTTTGTGACAGACATTTAAATAATTTTGTATGACAAACTGTATACAATCTGTTTTATTAAACATATTCACTCTTAAAATTTCTTGTTTTAAATTTACTAAATTTTTTTTATAAAATATTTATTGAGTTATCATATTTTATTAAAATTATAATGTCACTTTTTCAAAACTTAAAAGATTATTTTTTTTATTAAATTTAATAAAATTTTGTATGATAAACTATTTTAAAATATTTTTCAAAATTTATAAATTATTTAAAAAAATAAACTTTTTAGATTAAAATAAAATTAAACTTATAGTTAATAAATTAAAAATTGAATTAAATCTTGAAAATCCATTAATCTTTGTGTTTCTGTCAATTTTAAGGAAATAATTCTACGCCAATCGTGGCAAATACGTTCGGTTGGCAGTTTTTAATGAAGATCCAATCATCCAAATTGGAACAACTGTAAGAGGTCCACACGGATTAATAAGACTGTAACATAAGCTGACTCATTAAATCTGTCGTGTCAACCCATTTCTAAACCTCGTCTGTTGTTGATATGACATTTCCACAAGCGTCTGTGTATACAGCTGGACGGGATGTAACCCATCGAGAAGGAAACACCCTATATACCCCAAGATACCAACGCATCTCTAATATGGTGAGACAAAATGTGGTCATCATTAATATATCTAACAAACAATTGGGGCATTCTTCAAAATCTCAGCTCCAAGTGGAAGCACAGAAACAGTGTATGAATACTCCTTCATCATCTGATTCGAATCTTCTTTCGAATCATGGACGGAATCCTCTGTCCAAAGTCAGCAGTCTGCCTTCCGATCACATCCACGAATTTACCTTCACACTCTCTTTGTCCCTTTCCATAAATCATTCCGCTTGTTGTACTGTTATTTGAACATATATTTATATACATAACACAACTTCAATTCCTCACAATCTCACATCTTTCTTCCTCTCCTAGCTAGCTAGCCATTCATTACCAGCCAAAACCATGCCATTAAAGGTTCTTTCTGCGCTTGACGCCGCGAGAACCCAATATTATCATTTCAAGGCCATAGTCATCGCCGGCATGGGTCTCTTCACGGACGCCTACGATCTCTTCTGCATCACTCCCATAGTCCAAATCCTCAGAGGCCTATACTATCCCAATAAAGAAGAAATCCCCACTCAAGTCACCTCCGCCTTGGTTGTCGTCGCCCTTGTAGGCACAGTTATCGGTCAACTCGTATTTGGCATCCTTGGAGATTACAAAGGGCGGCGCCGTGTATATGGATTGTCGCTGATGATCATGGTTCTTAGTTCTCTTGCGTGCGGGTTCTCCATTTGCAGGACAAGACTTTGTGTCTTGTTGAGTCTGGGGTTCTTCCGGTTCTTGCTCGGGTTGGGTATAGGCGGAGACTACCCGCCATCGGCAACAATCATGTCGGAGTTTGCCAACAAGAGGACCCGTGGAGCGTTCATAGCGGCAGTGTTTTCGATGCAGGGGTTTGGGATTTTGGCGAGCTCGGCTATGACCATGGTGATTTGCTCCATATTTCAGAAGGGATCGCATGCGTCAAAAGATTACACGCCGGACGCTGCCGACATCTCGTGGCGGTTGATTCTGATGATGGGCGGCGTTCCGGCCGCATTGACTTATTATTGGCGGATGTTGATGCCGGAAACTGCTAGGTATGTCATTGCTTTTCTTTCATTTTTTAAATTTACTGCCTGTTTCCTTTCTATTGGTCAGACATCCGCTGTCTTAGTTTTGACCCAACAAATAAAGAAAATGTGTAAATAACTTTAATCTATGCTTTTTTTTTTTTGAACATACTTTAATCTATGCTTTTCTTTTTTATTGTACAGAACTTTAAGCCATGTTTAGTGAAAATTGACCTCAATTTTTTAAAAATATCTTTTTATAATTACTCGAAATATTAAAATATTATAATTATGTTCACACGCACGTGTAGTGTACATTTATAATTTTATAATATAATATATGTATTTATTTA